GCCTCATTTCCAGTAAAAAGGGCCCCCGGCCACCTGCACTCACCAAGCGAAACGCAGAGGTAAACCTCTACTTCACGTTGGTATTTTGTGAGGTCGTGGTACCACCCCGGTTCGAGCCGGCCCATCCGTGCGACAGCAAAAGCTGCCGCGTGGCTCTACCACTGTTGATATAGCTCGAAGAACCGACAACTGAAGGTTCTCGAGTGGCAGCCTCGTACCGGCAGGCGAAGTGTAAGGCGTCCCTCCTCTAGATGGAGTGACGACCTGGTAAGACATGCAAGAAGTCAATGGATGTAGGTGGCTCGGGACCGTGCTTTGTGGCATTCCTTGGGGGAGGCCTATGTTCAGCAGTGGACTTGTGAAGGGCTGTAATGATGACGATAATGATGATTTACAATTTCAAGTGCTGGCTTACCACATGCTTGACGATTGAGAAAAACATCGTGAAGGTACCTGTCTAAGGAATAAAATATTTCGCGGATATGCGAACTCCGCCAATACGCACCGAACCCGCACGGCATACTAATTATCCCAAAACCCTCAGCAAAGAGGTGCCCTTGCCCAGCTGTGAGCTGTGCTGCAACTTTACTTTTTTTTATATATATATATTACTTTTTATATAATGTTAAAAACTAAAAAGTTACAGACTATAATAAAGAGGTAAAATATTAGTTAGTAAGTTCTCTTTCCTGCCTAGGAATCCAGATAGTAGATGTAGATATTACCTTCTTACCTATTTCTGCCGCAAAATAGCAGTGCTTGTTTGCTGTGCTCCGGTTTGCGGTGTATAGAGCATTATTAAAATCTCCCGGTCACGACGGGCTTAGTGTCGAGCACCTGAGATATGCGGGGGTGCATATACCGAGGGTGTTGTCGTTGTTTTTCAATATGCATCACTCGTACTTACCAGCTGATCTAATGAAAACTACTGTTGTGCCCTCAGTGAAGAACGGGACACGATATATCTCGGATAAGGGAAACTATTAGCTAAGATATTGGATAGTCTGCTTGACTCTTGCTTACAAAATTACTTAAACCTACATGATGCACAATTAAATTTTTACAAAACACTAACACTTAGTTTTTAAGCGTTAATGCAATACTAACCTATGGATCTTTGTTGTCTGAAATAAATGAATTTGAATTTGAAAATAGAGAGATTGTGCTCAGAGGTGACAAAGTATCTCTATAAAAATCATGTAAAGTAAGTAAAAGTGTAAAAGTCATATAAAGTCCGCCAACATGCATTGGAGCAGCGCGGCGTAGCGATGCGGACTCTTCCTTGCCCAAAAACCCTTTCAGAAATGAGAAACTTGTGTCCGGGGGTGAGACGAACTATGTAGGCTGATTACCTTAAAAAACCGCTCATTTCAGTCCACTGGTAAACATAAGCCTCCCCCATAGATTGCCTTATTGGGGGATTTTTCTCCTATAAAATATTATCGTAGTTGACGCGCTCTTCTCTTCTTCCGAAAGGGCTTTAGCACCATAGACCACATACATACCCTTCGGCAAATTCTACAGAAGTCCGAGGAGTACAATTTGCCACTATGTCTGGCGTATGTGGACTATGAGAAAGCCTTTGATTCCATCGAAATTTGGGCGGTGCTGCAGTCCCTTCAGCGGTGCCAAGTTGACTGTCGGTATATTGAAGTGCTGAAGTGTTTGTACAGTAGAGCTACGATGGCTATCCGAGTACAGAACCAGAGTACGAAACCTATCCAATTGCAGAGAGCAGACAATGGCAGCCTCGTACCCGATGGAGTGACGACCTGGTAAGACATGTAGGAAATCGATGGATACAGGTGGCTCAGGACCGTGCTTAGTGGCATTCCTTGGGGGAGGCCTATGTTCAGCAGTGGACTTATGAAAGGCTGTTATGATGATGATGATGATGACGCGCTCTACAGGCGGGTCGGCAACCGCAGTTTTTTAATGTTTTCAGTGGTTGTCGGAAAGATACTACTAACCATCTCCTATTTTAGTTTTGTTATATCGCCTGTAACGACACCCACGAGATGATATGCGGTAGTGGATAATCTTACGTCGCTTCTACAACGTGTTACAAAATACCCCGTAAAAATATAATTAATTATCAAAGCCAAAACTTTTGTCAACTCTAGTAAGCTGTCATGTCAGGGAACCAGATTATTTAACAGAAAGGCCGTAACGTACCTATTTTTCCTAATAATTGTCTACTTTAATAGTTTTTCTATTTTTTATTCATAAATGTTTGCTACCTCAATACAAGGATGTCATTATAGCTACTAAAGAGTAGTGTAGTTGTACCACTTCTAGACCACCTGAGTCAGACGTGGTTCAACGACGTTCGTCGACACCCGATCCTAAAAAAAAAAAAAAAAAAAAAGTTTTGGCATGCTCTGATCACGAATCCGCGGTCCATTTTTGTGTAGAATGCACGGTTCCGGAGATGTGTAGATCAATTAGCTAATATCTAATTGATATCCGGTAAGGGCCTCCACCGTCATTAGCGTCCCATTGTTCCTATTTCTATTGTTCTATTGTTCATTAATCACCTTCATTGCAGCGTGTGCGTCGACTATATCAGTGCTATTGTATTGTACTTCTTTGTTCCTAATTATACAACGCTAATCTAAATCATCAATAAAACACATTACATAATTTTGTTACAATTTTTATTTATAAAATACAAAATCTTATTACTTATTATCTATAAAATAGGAGCGAAACATCTCATCCACTAAAATATCGTTGTACAATGTGTTCCTTGTAAATATACTCGTAAAACTATGTATTGAACATCCTTGAAACTTATATAGCAAATACATTAAGCAATATTCGCCACAAACTGAAGTCCACTCATTCTGAATCCTATCAACATTCCAGTTCCATCTTTTACAATTCCTTTTTAAAAACTCTAGATGATATCGTACAGGTGATCGTCCATATGAATCAAAATATTGACCGACGTCATTCGTATCGATATATAAAGCTACCCAATGTGACCCTGGTTTATCATCTGTATCCAAATTACATATTACATACGTTGGTACGTGGGTATACATAGGCAGTCTATTAGCTGCATAAACATTATTTTCTAGACTGGGGTGAATCTTTTTCAGATGTTGTTGTACATCTAGTGTATCCATGATATTACTGCTATTAGTACATTATTACAGTACCAATCTACTCAATGAATAACATAGGAATGGTCAATTATAGTGATTTCTAAATATTAAATTGCATTTTTGTGTTATACAAATCGTACTTGAGTCATTGATCACCAAACAAAACACAATACGAAGAAATGTTGAGATAGACAACGGAAATGTGAGATAAACTGGTTGACGCATAAAGTAATTATCAACTCATTACGGAAATACTTTAGATTAGAATTTTTACGTACTGGTGGTATATAAGACCAACAGACGCAGTCATCGAGTTAGTGTACGGTCGTTTGACTACAGTGGATCTATCAATAGTACATTTGTGTTACTTCAATACACCAAAGGCTATGGATGTAAGTGTTTATTCTATTGACTAAATTACTTTTTTTCTGTTATTTTCATGTGTGTGTATTATTTTATTTAAATATTGTGTATGTATATGATTAAGCCGTGGTAACTCAGATGGTTAGCGCTAGCTGTAAATTTCACAGTACGCGACCCGGGTTCGATCCCCGCCAACACCAATTAAATTGTTAATCGCAATTTTAAGTGCTTATTACCATGTGCTTGGTGGTGAAGGAAAACATCGTGAGGAAACCTGCATGTCTGAGAAAATTTCGAAGGCATGTGAAGTTCGCCAACACACATTGAGGCAGCGCGGCGGACATTTCCTTGCTCTAAAACCCTCTCAGAAATGAGAGGAGGCCTATGTTCAGCAGTGGACTTTAATAGGCTGTAACTTTAACTTTTTTAACTTTTATGATTAAGTGTTAACAAATTGATATTAACATGATAACTGTGTTGTTGCAGAAATCATTGAGCTTCGATGAAGATACCTATAAACAGTATTACTACTCGCCACTCTCCCCTCAAGAAGAGAGTGATAACCTCGTCATTAATAATAACACATGCGATGGTGGAAAAAGAAAATCGCAATCGATTGATCATTTTTTTGAAGCTGAATCAAAAATAAAAAAGAGGAAGCTGTTATCATCAACCGTAGCACGAGCCGCTAGAGATGGTGTATCATACATTTCTACTAATTCTGACGACGGAGACCAAGCGACGCATCTCATCAAAATTGAAATGTACGATATGAAGAAGCTATCCAAGATTCCAACTACTGATCATTGGAAACATGCTTCCACGAGAATTAAATATTACGTAAAGACTAATAAGGATAGCATCTACGACAACACAAACGCCCTCGTATACAATATAACAAAGACAATAGCAGAAAGTGAAAAAGTTAAAAAATCCTTTTTTAGCAATGACAGTCATTAGCTGATCATTAGTGAATGTGATTCTGTTTACTTCAATTACAGGAAGACAAGAGCGAAAGGAAGAGATGAGTGTGGCATACGTGTACAAAACACATCATTGAATAACAAAACTACAACACTGAGTGGAGAAGAAAACGAGAAGAGTATGCAGTACTCAAGAGCTGAATATCCATTCTTCAGTTCAAAATCTAGCCGTTTGCTTAGTTTCGAAAACTGGCCTCTCGTTATGCGACAGAAACCTGAAGATCTTGCAGAAGCTGGTTTCTTTTATACTGGCCATGCAGACGGGACCAAGTGTTTCCATTGTGGTGGTGGTTTAAAAGATTGGGAAGATGATGATGATCCTTGGCAGCAGCATGTTCAGTGGTTTAGTCAGTGTGCTTATGTAAAATTTCAACTCGAACAGTGTTTTGTATTAGATTAAATAGAAGATTTATAAAGAAATAAAAAAAAAATATATTGCATACAATTTGTTTTATTTAATTTTATAACGTTTCACATAGTTACATACACACAAAATGCATTACACATAACACATAAAATCTAACACACAACACATATTATAACCTTAACTACTATAGTCTACAGTAACATTTCTGTTTTTATCTATCTCAATAATATTATCAAACTCAGCATAAACTATACAGTTAATTGTTTGTATTAATGAGGATTCAAATCGTACTTCTATTCTTACACTACCATGCTTTATGAGATTCCAATGAGTTGATGAGTTAGCTGATACATCAGGAGTTAAGTCAAATGCTAATAGACAGTAACCTTTGCCATACTGTTCACAAGAGATTCCATTTCCTTCATTAAGAAAGTGAATACCAGTTCCCGAGAATAGAGTATGATATGCTGATGTAAATATGCTATTATTAAAAGATGGTTGCAAAGCTTTTGAAGGTATTTGTTGATCATCAATATATAAGCTGAAAGAATTAATACCATAGTTTTCAAAGTTAAATGGATTTTTAGTAAGGGAACCATTAAATGCAGAATTGTTCACAAATCCAATTATACATCTTTTCGGTACCTGTCCTAAAAATATATTATCAAGAGTTTTTCCTTGAACACCCGAAGGAATTGTTAAAACTTTTACTTCAGCTCGAGTAATAGGATATTTAGCAGTGGTAGAAGCTAAAACTTTTTGATGTGCGAGTAATACACTTGGATTAATTCGTGCTCGTCGAACAATAAGAGTTGCGTCCGTAATGCAAACTTTAAACTTTACATCGTTTGACCCAACAATTAAATTAAAACTCTCTCTTGATCGAACCAATTTAACACTCATTTCAACACCATTAATTAAAAATTTATCTTGGTTAAAAATGTCACCGTGAAGATGACCAATCATTTCTATTTCCTTACTTTCACTAATCAATTCCTGTCTTTTAACAAATCCTATGTTTTTACCATCTGTAGAATCCATTTTTCCTGCTGTATCCTCATACCAAAGACTACAAGTAAGATGAGATTGTTTAGCAGCAGGGGCATAGTTTAAAAGGGTTTCCATGTATGCTCGATATGCATAGGTATTATTAGGTGGTGATACAAGTTTTTGGTTTAAATAAACATCAAGTTGACTAAAAAGTGAATGCAGCCAATTATTTACAGGTGCTACTATTGTAGTAGATACCAAGTTAGTTGAATCTTGATTTAATACTTTTGCTTTTATGTGGAGTAATGTATGAGACAAATCTATGTAGTCATCGCCGGTCCCAGGAACTTGAAACTCGATAGGTCCATCATCACCAAGAGATGAAATTGGTTTATAATGAATCCACAATCCATTTTCAATGCTAGTTTGTGTAGACGGTAGTGCAAACAAATCCAATTCTGACTTAACGCACTCGCAAGAATGATTATGAAGGAAAGACATATTTAGTTTGAAAATATATCTTTGATATTTTTTGGTTTTAGACTAAGTTTTTTCGCAGCTTTCTACTTTAGCAGTTAATGGTGGAATGAACGATGTCAATCGTTTTCTTTTAGTTTTATACCCAGATCCAGTCATGTTAAATTGATCAATTTTCTCATCAGCCTTTCGTTTTAAATTCGTACTAACTTGCTTTAGACGATCTTTTATTGAGGCTTCCATAGGACGGGCTTGAACCATATCCGATAAAAGTCCTACTCCAGCGCTTAATGCCTCCTTACCAATCACTCGAGCACCACTTGAAAGTAAAGGTAAAACTGATCTGAATAACCCCCCTAAGAAGCTCCCAATACCATGACCGCGTTGATATGGTGAACCCTTATAAATTACTCCAACTCCTGATCCAGCTTGATGTGTATAATAATTTTCATATGGACATTTATGATGATCACGAAGAGAATTCATTATTATAATTTTCGGAAATGTAGTTTAATACACACGGTTCCAAACTGGAATGGTATTTTTTGTCCTGTACTCGATCTTATAACTATTTCCAACGTATCGAACTCTCTTCGCATAACAGGTAAGTAGTGAGGTTGAGAGAAAACGTGCATTTTATTTGCACCATAAATGTATTTTGTAGGATCTAATGAAATGACTCTTAATAAAGGAGTCATAACATCACCCACAATCTGAGGATCGATAATGTCGCAATATAGAAATAGTTGAGATGGTAACCCTAAGTGTAAATTAGCAGGACACTTTCCAAAATTTCTCTCTAGGAGATTTTTATTTGGTTCATAACCTAGCTGTAAACTTAATTTGGGTGATAATGTTACGGATGTTATATTTTTATCCAATACCGAAATAGACACAAATTTTGTTATTTCATCATAGCGAAATTTCAAGTTCTCTCCGATACCATTTAACACTCTTAAAATATGCTCAACGTTATCATAGTTGGTAGCTGGAATATGTTTTTTGTAGTACACTGTGGATGGCTTATCTTCATTAGGCATTAACATAGATTTTGTAATGTATATAACATTTTCATGGTCTTGAACGGTAAACATGGTACATGGATATTGAAACTCGACAACTCCAACCGACCATTCACCTTCTAATTTTATAGCTTTTGGTAATTTCGTTGAAAAATTTGTGGTCTTGTTATCAGGAAAGTATTCCATTGAACTATTGCTGAGCAAAGTTAAATAGAAACTTTCTTTATTCATATTTCTTTTAAACTAGAAGCTAAAATCCAACTGTTAAATTTATCTGGATAACCTTTCCACTTCACTAATACTTCTTTTCTGTTACCTGAATAACGAGTGTCAATTATTTTATCTATTTTATGTTGTGAGGTGGGGTTGTAAGTGATTTTCTGTAATTCTCTTTCATAAAAAGTACCAATTATTGGTTCATTTTGTAAATCTGTTATTGTATAAACAACCCATGGAGATCTATCAATTATTGAAGATATAATAAATATTTCATCACTCCAATTTGATTCATATCCTTTTTGGAATACATGTTTATATTTAGTTATTCGAACATAATCACCCACATTGAAATTTGGTTTAGGAATTTCTAAAGAAAGTTTTTTTGACCGTCTATCATAAAGATTAGTCCAAACTGTCATAATATTGTTGGAATTTACATCACATGGGCACATCTTAATACTAGAGTGAAAGCTGTGATTATAAGAGTATATTAAATCTTGTAAAACATCTATATATCTATAAGTATTATTATGAGTGAAATAACGCCACATTTTCATTTTTAGTGTTCTTTGAAATCGTTCAACAATACTGGCCTTAATGTCAGGATTGTTAGTGGTATAGTAATTAATCTTTTTGGATTTAAAGTATTTTTGTACATCTTTTGAAACAAATTCTGTACCTTTATCGGATTGTATGTGAGTAGGTGTTAAATTACTTTCAGTAAATATACTTTCAAAACATTCTTTAGTTGTTTCTGAGTTTTTCTTTTTCATTGGTCTTGCAAAAGCATATTTACTAAATACATCAATAATACAAAGTATATACTTGAAACCATCATTATATTGAGAATAAGTTCGCATATCACTTAAATCAGCTTGCCACAGTTCATTAATATTTGATAGAATGTACCTATTACGCGGGAATTTTTTTCGAATGGGTTTATGTAATGTGTATGTTTCTTGTGATTTTAACCATTCCTTTACTTGCTTTTTATTCATTTTACCCTTCATGGCTTTTGATAATTTATCAATACTACCAAAACCAGCGGGATTAGATGGATCATAATAAATCCTGTTAATTTCTTCTAGTACGGGGTCCATTTTTCCCACTCAAGTCCTTTACGTATTTTAGTTGTAGACTTTTTATCTCTACTGACCGGTGTAGAAAACTCTTGAACTTCAATCTCAGAGGGTTTGTTCAGATCTTTTGCTTGAAGTTGGTTAATAAACTCACATCTCCTTGGATTTCCAATATAAGTAAGTGGTACTTTAATATCTTTTAATGCTTCAGCAAATCTAACCCCCTACCGGATCACTTCTTTTTAGGGGTCTTAATGAATCATTTACTAAATCAACAATATTACTTCCAGGAATTTTTTCACTATCAATTATGACTGTACCTTCATTATCCCAATGTATTTTACTTTTACTTGTTTCAACTAAGTTTAATAATAACTGCCCTTTTTTATGATAAGTTTTTGGTATTAAACTGAGTATTTGAGCTGGTGTGTAAAGTGGATTTTCATCATTTCCAGCAAAGATTCAATATCAACTGAAGTTTTTAGATCTCTTTCTTTATTTTTAAAACCAATTTTTGACTCATTTGAATCTTCATTAGATGTATCAGAATAAATTGGTAATTTGAGTGGTTGACGTTCCTCTTCGGTAAAATGAAGGTATCTTTGCAGTGTTTGTAAATATAATATCTATTTCTTTCGGTCTTCCGTCTTACTATTCATAATATTTTGCATTTCAATATCTAATCGAGATAAATTACTATTAACCTTATTTTCTTGTTTTAATTTTTCAATCAATCCAGGTTCGATAAGTATCATTTTCTTTGCATTTTCCATGTTAACTGGCTAGTCCACTCACTAATCCACTCAATATTGCACCTAATATTGTTGGTAAGAAAGCCCCTCCTTTTTGTATAATTATATTTTTTCTTAGTTTATGTTTACACTTACGTACTAGTTTACGGAGTATGTTTTTATGTTTATTCAATTTTTGTTTATCCTGATCTTTAAGAGGTACTTTTCCTTGTATAACGTTATGAATACACTCACAAATACAGTTAATTTCTTCTTCATCACACGTTTTAAGTAATGCTCTTTGATATTTTGGTTTAAGCGTATGCAAAGCGGTTAGCAAATGTTTATACGTTGTGAGTCGACGATGCATCATTTAGCAATGATTTCAATTGTTTGATTCTTGGTGTATTTAAACTCTTTTGTGGGGACGTAGACTGTACAAAAACCATTAAATGGAAAGACATTTGTCTTGATACGACAAAAATCATTGGTATTCTGTTTTAAATCTACCATTAAATATCCATGCGCCTCTAGAGTTGCATCCCTGTAGGCATTTTCAATGAATTTTGGGTTATCTGGTGATACTTGTCTTGCTAAATATCTTATTTGAGTTTTATCTCGAGGGTTTTTAAAATATATTATATAACTTGAGTTTAAAGATATGTCTCTTTGTCCTTTACCCTGATGAAATAAATTTTGTGTTAGATAAAATACACTAAGATTCCTGTGATGACTACCTTTTGTAAATATATCCACAATTCTTCCATCGGACTCTCTCATTAGATCATCAATAATAACAAGATGTGGGTTTTCACCATCAAACATATTAAGATTTGGAATTCCTTGATGATAGTTAACATTTGGTAAATTATATAATGGTTGCATTTCATCAAAGCACCATGTGATCTGATTAAAATCACAATTACATATTTCTGTAACTGATTTTATGAAATTTGTTACAAAATTTGACTTCCCACACCCACTTGGTCCTGCCACAATAGCAGTGAACGGATGGATAAAGTGAAACATAACACACGTCTAAAGTTCAAAGGGGTGAAATAAAAAATGAAAGTGTTGGTGTAAACAATTAATATATATTCCAAAAATTATATAAAACAGAATTATCTGTATACTATTTCTAACACAATTAGTACATCATAATTTTACAATTAACTCAACCTCAAATAAATAGAAACAACAATTAACTTAAATTATTTACAATAAAACAATGATTAAATATGTAATAAACTACGTCATATTATAGTATTATCATAATTTTACAATCAATATAAATTTTTCTTAAACGCAGACATAAAAGTAAAAACTATCAACACTTAACGCAGTTTATAATGACCCCAAGCTAATGTTTCAATATTATTATCTAAAATATGTCTCTTTGTGTCATTATATGATAAACCTATCTTATTTAATTTTTGTGTGAAAATTGTGTGTTTAATTGATTTAAATCTAAGCATACTATAATATTGCACTTTTTTATTAAATATAGAAGACTTATAACTATTCATTGTCATCTTTTTAGTGATACATTTATTTACCCCTTTTGCCTTGGCTATAGTCTTATTCTCTAAGTTAAAAGCGTACATTTTGGATCGTAAACCCACAAATTCTTTCATGATTTTACCATTATTTTCATCTTTAACAAAACCTAATTTCTTTTTATTTAATTTTGGATATTCAAAAATATTATTTGTATCATAATCTGAGGTATCAAAGTATGATGAAAGGTCAGGTTTTATATCAGTGTAAAAATCATTTGTAAATATATGATATATTAAACTATCCGTATCTGTATACAATAATTTGATTTTACTAAACTTTTTAATCATATAGTTATAATGAAAATCATACATTAATGTTTTTGAAATATCTAAAATGCAAAACCCTAAATAAATTGGTTTGTTATATATTAACTTCGTTTTTCGCAACTGAACCGCAACTAGGTTTTCCGAAAA